GGTTTCGGATATTAATTTTTTCGGTCGGATTCGGATTTTAAATGCTTCAGTCGGGTCGGAAAAAGTCGGATTCGGATAAAATTGCCATCCCTAGGTCTAATTCTCACCTAATCATATCCTGATATCCAAAACTATTTCTTAAGTATATTTTAACATTTTTATACACACAAAAAATATTTTTAAGTACAAAAGTATTTTTAGTCTAAAAAACTAAAATTTAGATTTTTAAAATTCTTTTATAAACAAGTATTTTTTTCAATAAAAATGTATTTAAAATTTTTTTTAAAAGTATAAAAAATCAAACTTTTTGAGCTGTAACATATGTGAGAATAAGATACTGATGATGTAATTACTACTCCGTTCTAAAATGATATTCCCAATTTGGTTTATGAGGTTTGACTGAAATTATTTTCAATTCAATTTCTTTGATTATAGATGTAAAATTACAAACAAAAAATTAAATATTTTAAAACTATATCAAAATTCTACAAAATAAGACGTGACATGATTATATTATTGAATCAAATAACTAACGAATAAGGTAAGAAAAGCGATTAAAATTTGATCATGTGATTAGTAATTGAGAAAATCATTTTAGAACAGAAAGAGTATATTCAAAGAAAGTCAAATGTTAGAATTTTTCAAAAATATATCTTTTTCCATCTCTTAAAATATGAAACAATTTTTTTTTAGCTAAAATACTATTTTTGTTTTAAGGAATTATATCAAATTTTAAGGCGGCATAAAAACATTAATCGACATGCCCCCACAAAATGCAATTTAATTCTTCAAGTTACACCATATATATGGTCTACAATTGAATTGTAAGACAGTCTACACACAGAAAATCACACAATAGTATTTATGATTGATATGGCTGGTTAATACTTCATCCATCCCTATTTAATCTTCCCATTCCGGATTATGACATTTTACTAAAGTTTTTCTCAATTCAATTTATGCAAATATTGGAATAAAAATAAAAAATAAAGTTTCTTTTTTTTAAATAGTACATCAAAAGTTCCACAAAAAAAGATGACATGACTGTTATTTTACCAAATGATCAATGAAAATATACGTAAAAAAGTAAGATATAGCTCGAGAGTGTGAACAGTAAAGGGGAACATTTAAAGGGAATAAGGGAGTAATTAAATTTTGCATGTTCACCACATAGATAGTCACAGAATATATTTGGTTAACACAACATGCTCCCTGATTCCTAACATACCAGAATCATCCACCACCGGCTGATGCATTGTGGCAGAATTATGATTACAAACTTCGTTTTGGACTTGAGTGGGGTGTACTCTTAAGCTTAGGTTTAATGAAATCCACCTTGTTACGATCATCTAAATACGTTTTTCCGCGTATTAGAAAAGTGGATGGATCTGTTTCGCTCCAACTGCAAGGCAAATTACAACTTTTCTTATTCTCACTTCTTTTATTCAAACTGTCAGGTGTTGAGTATGTTCTGGGAAAAGTCCTATGAAACTAACCTGCAATAACATGCAGTTTCTTCACCAAAACAGAAGCAGGTGACACTTTTGTATGCCGTGTATCCTGGAAGAAAGAAATCAGCAAACAATTAAATTCTTGAACTTCAAGAGGAAATAACATCTTCAGGAACAGTTGAGGCTAGTAAACGGGCATTAACATCATACAGATCAGCAAACAATCAAATTGTTAACTTCATGGATGAGTTTTTTATATACTGAAAGTCTGAAATTATATAAAATGACATATTGACATCCTCTCTTTTCATCCATAACTTGAGCAAAATCAGCCTTCCTATGCCTTACCAAAAGGGCTCTTAGATTACATAACAATTTAGGGATGTCGAAACAAAAGAAATCTTAGCAGGTAAAGGAAGAGCAAGACTCAACCTGTATGAATTCATGACCTCAGGGTCCCTTAAAAGTCTTTGGCGGCGTAAAACATCCACAATGAGGAAATAGAAGATCTGCCAGAGAGTGTATGTTAGCAAGGGTACGAAAAACAGCCATGTCCAAAGGTAGGATTTGCTTTCTGCATAAGGCCATGAGGCTCTGCGGTCGTTCCCTTCAGGGTGCATGGCTCCTAAATAAACAGGATCCCACCATCGAATCGTAAAGAAAACCAATCCTGAAAATCAAGTAAAACATTAGAGGACGTAGATTAGCTCATAGCATATTGCATCTATTACTATAAGCAGGGGCTTATCTAGAATTCTAGACACTGTTTTCAAAGAGGCATGATATAATTTTATATATATATATATATACTAAGCATAGGAAGGTTTGCTGTAATCGCACAATTCTTTGATTCCAGAGTCAATTTATCAATAGGGATGCATTCTTCTACCATCTTTCGCAGTGAAGATACCATGGCACTAAAAATAAGTAAAACACAACAAAAACCCAGTACGTCCATTTCAATTGTTCAATAAGGCATAAATATATATAGATTCGGAAACACACACAAACACATCCAAACACAGAGAAGGTGAATCATTTGGAATAAAGTAGGGGTAATAAACGCTGGAATAAAGTAGGGGTAATAAACGCTAGTAATTATGACCTTGAAAGATATACAAAATCAAAGTACTTCACTATTAAATAAACTTAAATGAAAATATGTGGTAAAAATTGTTTTGTCATGCATGAAACTGGAAGGCATATAATACAGATAGAGGCAAAACCGCAAAAGAGTACTGGTTTATCTCCATGACTCCATAAATATCTCAGGATCTCATAAGAAAGGAAATAATGAGTATCTAACAGAGTACCAGTTGATGCAATATCAATTAACATTAGATAATGATGTTCTGATCGAGCTGTGTTAAATACAGAGTTTTACTTTTGTATACTCTCACATATCTATTATCTACCTTAAATAGACTATATGATGACTCAAGGGAAGGTATTCATCAATGATGTAGCCATGCACCAAATCACATACAAGAGTACTCCACTTGAACCCTAATGTGCAATCAAATGCAAAAATTGAAATCTTCACACATTTTTACTGAGCTCCGAGCATAAGCATACTTCGAATCAAACAAAGCACATATATCCATTTGCATGAAAGAAGCTCTCGATTTATCGAGTCGAATACCTCTTCATATTTCTGGGTGAGAGTTAGGCGCTCATCTTCAGCCACGTCGGGCCTAAGAATTATCATCGTTTCATACTGCCTCAAGCCCTGGAGGACACTGGGGCTCCTCTCTATCTTCTGCAAGCGAAATGCTCCATGGCGGAATAGACGGCGGCTCTTCACTGTCTATGAATTCGGCTTGGAACAATGCTTCGTAGAACTCAAAAGTCTGCGCGAGAAGCAGAAGCTTGGGCCGAGGAAGTTACAGATCTATTACCCTTGCAGTTAGGTGGCAGCTGAGTGAGCAAAACTTAATCCAGCATCCTAGTACACGTGTCAGCTCCACAACTAATAGACCCTACTGTATATATATACCAGTAGTTTGACCCGTGCGATGCACGGGTGAAACAAAATTTTTGTTGATTCTAATAATTTTTCCAATGAAATATTTTTTCCAGATTAAATAAAATATATTTTCAATATGATTTTTAGTACAATATACATCAACATCAATGTAAAAGAAACAATATTTGAAGAGTCAAAGTGTAAATGATAGTCTACCTTTTTACGATGTGCGTCCTAAGCCTTAAAATATGTGCAAGTGTTCTTTGCATTTTTGTAAATTTATATTTAGTGGAAGAAGTAGATATACTTTGAGAAAATTGTGTAGTTCAATACTATGGGGATTTCAATCAACTTCCCAAATTGTGTAGTACAATTACACTTCATGTGCATAAAAAATCTCTTTTTAAATAAGTAACAAACCTAAATTAGCATCAAATGATCAAGTTTTTACTTCCTATGTATTCTGTTAAGTATAATAAAAGAAAACTGGGTTTAGCTTTAAATAGAAAAGTATGATTTCAATACATAGGGATCAAAACAATTGATTGGTTCAATATTGGAAATACACTGTTTAGTTAAAAGAAACTTGAAACACACAGATCATGGATTCATCAAACACACAAAAGTGACGGAACACTCGCCAAAAAATACTCAAAATCAAAGTTACCAAATCGAGTGTCGCCACACCTCCAATCACAGAGCAATCACAATTGAAAAACCTGATTTCCTTTCCTTGACGTGCGTAGATTTCCTTTCCTTTCCTTGGCATCGCGCATAGAGAGGCCAAGAATCCGATACTGGAAGGCTTCTGCGATTTTTTCGTAGGAGTAGACGCGTGTAAGCCCAAGTGTAATTAAAATAGAATGTTCAAGTTGGCACATGTCAAATTTTTATAGAACTCTCAAATATTATATTAAAGGATTGAAAAAAAATACCTACATGATTGTTATCCTACATGAAAAATTTCACATACCTCAAATAAGACTTTTTTCAGCATTGTAGATAACAAAAGAAACTTAAAGGGATTTAATCAATATCATTTACTTGGTCCGTCCCTTAGTGTTTGTCCACTTTTGACTTCTGGAACTGTTCATCCAAGCACTTTGACTCCTCAAAATCACTCAATGTGTAAACCTAAAATAGTCATGTGTGATCTTGTTTGATTCGTCTTAACATATAGATTATTAATATATAATTTTTATAATTTTTTAATATACAAATTACAAGATAAAATAAATTAAAAAAGTGCATTGGATGGTGTCCAAAAATAAAAGTGGACAAACACTCAGGGACGGAGAGAGTATAAAGTAATTAATAGCAATTTGGGAAAATAAATGTGACATAAATTCTCAAGGAAACGTCCTAGTAACGGTGTAATGTCAAAAGTTGGAAATAAAAAAAAGTGTACAACATTCAAAGCATAATGTATATCTCTTTTGGATGAAAAAAGTACTTAAAATTAAAGGGTACCTAACTCTCTTTCTCATTTATATAAAATAGAGGATATATATATATATATGTATGTATGTATGTATGTATATATATATATATAGAGGATGTATTTTACGCTCCTATAGTCAAAACCCTAAAAGGAAGGCGCTCTATGAATCAGAGGACAAGGTTGGCGACCTGAAAGCTGAGATTTCGCAATATACATTCACTGCCGTTAGATTTACGGTATATGGGTTCAATTCTCAAACTTTCTGCTCAATTTTCCATTCTTTAGGGATATGAATAAGTGAAATTCCAGCCTTTTGTGTCTTCAAGAAGAGTTCATTTAGCTCCTCTATGTGCTTAATAAATCTGAGGTAAATTTTGAAATTTATGTTTTAAAAAATCTAAAAAGTATAATTGTTAAATTGTATAATTGAATACGTCTGATTTTTTGCTATCATATCCTTGTTCGGCTACGTTATTGGTATTGCTACGGTAGAACTATGGGAGGAGGGATCTAGGAATATTGCTGGAATGGGCAAGGGAATGTTTATAGTTTATTTAATTGAATGTGGTGGTATGTATTTTGTTATGAAGTTGATGTTGAAGCTTGAAGGTGCAATTTTGATTTTTCATTTTTAATAAGCCGCTGCATTGTTGTTGAACTTTATGTTATCTTTTTTCGATTTGTTGCTCAAAAGATTTAAAGTTTTAGAACTGATAGGCGGTTACTCTGAAGTGTAGTTATTATAATACTGAAATAGACCCTGGTTTTAAGTTTTAAATGATATTAGTTGCTGAACCCTGGTTGTATTTGTTAATCTGGGTTATTGAATTGCTTATATATAGACCTTCAGGCCTCAGAATAGCAAAGGTAGAAGAACGGATGGCAATGGCATCATCTGAATCACCCATAAAAATCTTCATATTGGTGGAGTATGAGATTGAAGAGATGGCCCATTCCTTGTTTATGATTGACCTACCAACTGACCTGATCCAACAGAAGGTCGACTTGGAGGATGGGTTTGAGGAGATTTCTCCGGTGTTGTCCTTCCCCGAGAACAAGTTCTTAGACAACACAGAATTCGTCAAGCTTGGGTCAGAAATATACTTGTTTGGTGGTAGTAGTCTAGGATTAGTTCCAAGCCTTGACCGTCACACGCACCTACAAACTACTGTCCAGGTCCTGGACACCAACAATCCTGAGAAAGGGCTGCACCGTGTCGCCCCAATGAATGCCATCAAGGAAAGAAACTGCGCCTTTGTGGCGGATGGCATGATCTACACACTTGGGGCAGCTGTAGAGAGTTCAGAGTGTGGAATGAGTGGCTGTTTTGAGCGTTATTCACCGCAATTGGACAAGTGGGAGGTCCTCCCCGACCCACCGCTCTCTTTAGAGCTGCTTTCTTGTGCAGACTGGACTAGTCATGCCACTGTGGTGGGTAGGAAGGTCTTCATTGGGAGTCATTGGCATGATTTGTATCTCATCTTTAACTTGGATACTCAGCGGTGGGATAAGGTTCCTCCAACATCTGTTGCCCAATACTTCCCTTATGGGGCTATCTGTGTCGAAAACTCACTTTATCATATGAGGGAAAAGGGGGCTGTGAGACAATGTATGGTTTTTGATCGTGGTTGTGGTTACGAGCCTCTACACATTGTCAAGAGAGGGCCCTTACCTAAGCCCATCACAAGTAGCAGTAAGGGTATTCTCAATCTCAAGAATGCTCTTTTAAACAGAGACAAAGTCCAAGTGCTGGCTACATCAACAGAATTGGAGGGCAATGATGAGACCTTTTTCACTCATTCCAGTTTCAATCCTTGGAGAGAACTTCTCCACTTGGGAGGTTCTTTCTTCTGTTATGTCGTCGCTGCTGAAGTCATGGACAATGAGGATGGTACTTCCCTTGATCCGCATACCCGTTTTTTTTGGATTAAGGTCTTCAAGGAGGTTAAAGGGGAGAGTGGTGCTGCTGAATTCCTACCTCTGGCCTCTTTCTTCTACAAGTTTCGCGCCCACTTCCCTACCTATTCTGAGATGATCCGCTGCTGTGCTGTTGGCCATGTCCCTGACTGTAAGTCCTTTGTTAGTGTAGTGTTCTCGGTTATTGATTGATTGATTGACTGAATATAGGAGGATTCTGTTGCCTTTTATTCCCTCAATGTGTTGCCATATTTTGTTTGTTGAGTTTTTTTTTGGCTGCCCTAGTTCATATGGTGTTCCCTACTATGAGCTAGTGAAAAGATTGTACTCCGTATCTTTTTTTATTTAGCTGAATTAATGTCTTACAAAAAGCTAACTTCAAGTACATGGACAAGTATATTTTTTAAAACATGGACAAGTATATTTTTTTAAAATATAAATTTCATATTACAATTAGAGAGTTTGGAGTCTATTGAATTTAGTGTCTCCACCTGGTAATCATCTTATTATAAGTGTTTGTTAAGGAATCAAGGGAATAGTTTCGTATTTTCCCTATTATTATTATCATTATTGTTGATGTTGTTGTTGTATATTTGAAACATGGTCAAGTAGTTTTTTAAATTTAATATTACAAGTAGACAGTGTGTATTAATATTGAAAAATTAGTATATCCACCTGGTAATCATCTTACATTGAAAATTATTCAGTTTTACACTTTCACTGAAGAATAGTGAAAGTGGATTTGTTTTATCACTGTGCAACCATGGATGAAGAATCTCATATGAATATGAATGTTGCCTGATGTACTGCTGACTGCAGCTTGGAGTAATTTGCTGCCGAAGAAACAACAAGAAAGCCGGAAGAGAACTGTAAAACGTACAGCCACTACTACTAGCCTGCAGGAAAAACAAGAGTCGAGTGGGTCAAAGGATGTTCAAACAGGGGGCCATGATCAAGCTGCAGATGCTGTGGCGGTTTGCAACCTTAAGAAGCTTTTGGCAGGTAAAGCTTCAACTCTCCTTAAGTTTTAATCAGAACAAGTTAGTATGGTGGTTAATTTGTACTGCTGGGTTGCAGCCCAGGAAGGGGAAATCAGAAGGCTCAAGGACGAGCTTGCGCGGTTGGCCAAGAACAAAAACATGCTTATGGTTTAAAATGAAGGCTTAATGGTTGGGACACTTGTTATTTGTAGAGAATATTTAGTAGATCCTATGGTGGTTGGCTGTAGTCTACAATATTCTTTGCGAATCTTAAGCGCGTCCACAGTTGGTCATTTGGGTATCCGGAACGCTCTATTTAACGTACCTGGCAAGCGGGTCATTTGGATCTCCTTGTGGTTCCTATTTGACACTTTTATTTGGATATGTGCAATTTGTAATTTTCGCCCCCCCCCCTATTCGGTACGGAGTAATTTATTTGTACGCCACTAGTCCTAAATAAGTAAATGTTGTGGACCTTCTATGATATTTATTCCTTTTTTCCTTCACCAAATTTCTAAAAATGTATGCGGATGCAAATGCACTTTGATACAAGTGTATTAGTTAAAATGTATGCGGATGTAATTGTCATTTTTCTTTTAGATTTATCGGAATTTGTTTTATCAACTTGTGTATTAGTTAATTAATATGTATGTGTGTGTGTGTGTATATATATACACACACCACACACACACATTTGAGATGTGAACTTATATTGGCAATTAATGTAGGTCCAACATTTCAGCTAATGAGCAACAATTATTTTCTTCAAAGAAATTCAACATTTCAGCTAATGGTTTGGATTTCATACGTATGTTTCAACCCCAGATTATTGATTTGGTCACCTAGGTATATTTTAAAGTTCTTCAAGATATCTTTAATAATCAATATCAATTAACTAAATTAGTTATATAGATAAATCTTAGAGATATTCTAGATACCATTAACAAAACATATCATTTTCATAATCATCAATACATTCATTTGTAAGCAGGGTTCAATCATTCATAATTATCATTTTAATCAAAATATTCATCAGGGTTTGATCAAAATCAACATTCAATAATAATAATCATAATATCCAATAACAAGTAGCGGCTTAGTGTCGAGTGTTAACATCCTAGCTTACCAACATGCATCACACAAGATTCTTGGATTTATCAAAACATCATATTTATTTCCAGAAATAATTTTTCATATTGATCATAATTGATTGGTATAAAAAATAGCATTAAATAATTCAAAAATTTGGATTATTAAAAACATACACGTTCGGATAGTACCCGTTACGGTACCTCGACACCGGCACACGGTACCTCGGTTCTGGTACAAGATACTTCGGTATTGTTCAGACGGTATGAGGTACCACCTAGCGCCAGGTACCGCCAGAGGAAAAAGTAAATCTTTTTGGAGGCAGTAGCAGGTCTATCGTTCCGATGGTTAGCCTACCGTGCTGACTGTACTTAGGTATCGTCTGGATGGTAGTTTGTTACCATTTTGCGCGTAGTTTAAACAGTGTCATCTTCAACGTCGGTCCAATTTCTTATAACACCTATTTTAAGCTTCTATGATTTAAACTAACTTCATAAAAAATATTTTCTAAAGTTCATATTCACAAATGATTTATTTGAAGCTTAAATAACAAAAACAAGTCTTGTGATTATGAATATCAAAATATTTATATTTTCAAATATATACGACTAATAAGTTCATGGATCATTCCATGCCTATATATATATGAATCAATATGTATGTGTATATATATACACATACACACACACACACACACACACACACACACATATATATACGTATATGTGTGTGTGTGTGTTTGTATGTATGGTTCCCCCCTGTAGAGATGGTCGCAGGGTTGATTGGCGAACCACACCAACCGGGGTCGATCCCTAGAAGATGCGAATTTGGAGGAATTTTAAAGAGTTAAGCGTGTTGGCATGGGATTAGCAGAAATGATGGGTGACCCTTGGGAAGTAGATTTGGGCTTATGAAGCTGGGCTTTAGATTGGGCTTACTTTGTTCTTTCTATAGTGGGCTATGAACCTCGGGTGTTAACGGGCCCCGGGGTAGTCACAAGGTTAATGGGCCTCGGGCCCCTGCTTGTAACCAACCGTGCATTATTTAAAAAAATATTTAAATATAAATATAAATATACCTATATATATATACACCTATATATATGTGTGTGTGTGTGTGTGTGTGTGTGTGTGTGTATAGACACACACGCACACAGATACATACATACATACATACATACATACATACATACATACATACATACATACATACATACATACATACATACATATATATATATATATAGTCCCGATAAGGATCACCAAACTCTATACGCCTAATGCAGTTGGGCCGATTTCAGTGCACGAAAGTACAGTCTAGAGGCCACCAAAGTTCAATGGTATGAATTTCAAGATGTGGCAACAAAAGATGACGTTCTTTTTTACCGTCCTGGGGTTCGCTGAAAACCTACAGCAAGATCCTCCCAAGTCAAACGACGACAACGACCCTCTCGTAGCGATGGTGAACCAAGCGTGGTACCATAATAACTATCTCGCCATCAACATCATCCTCGAGGGGTTGGCCGAGACGTTGTACCTCGTCTACGCCGGTGCAAAGCTTGCCAAAGAGCTTTGGAGCAGCTTGAACAAGAAGTATCAAGATGAAGATGCCGACACGAAGAAGTTCATCGTGGGGAAGATGCTGGACTACAAGATGGTCAACAGCAAATCTGTTGTCGCCGAGGCTGAAGAGCTTACGGTAATCTTCAATAAGTGCAATGAAGAGAAAAAAGGCGTCAACGAGGCCTTTCAAGTGGCGGCCATCATCCACAGACTTCCCCGCTGTTGGGAAGACTTCTAAGCTGATCTCAAGCTCAAGAGAACTAAGCTGAACCTAGAGCAACTGCTCACGCGGTTGAGGATCCGAGAGGAAGGGCTTGACAGAAGAGGAGGAGGGGCAAAAGCGAATGTGGTTGAACATCCTTCGGGATCTTCACATGGCGGGAAGGAAAAAGAAAATAGGTCCTAAGGGTGGCGATTCTAAATTTGCAGGGAAGTGCTACAATTGTGGCATTACCGGGCATCGTTCCTCCGATTGTAGGAAAAAGAAGCCACAAAAGAACAAGAAGAAAACCACTGAAGCCATCTGTGCAGAGCTCGAAAACTTGGACCTCTGCACAGTTGTCACTAAGGTGAATCTTGTCGGGTCAAACCCGAGGGAATGGTTTGTGGACACAAGAGCCGCATGCCATATTTGCTCCAACTGGGGCATGTTTCACGAATTTCAAGAGACCACCGGTGACAAGGTGTGGATGTGCAACTCGGCCCAATCAGAGGTTCAAGGGGTTGGCAAGATTAAGCTCAAAATGACCTCCGGCAAGGAGCTAACGCTTAACGACGTGCTCTATGTGCCAGACATTCTCACAAAATTTAGTGTCGGGGTCATTACTAATCAAACACGGCGTTCGGATGGTGTTTGAATCAGTTAAGATAATCTTGTCCAAGAAAGGGATTTTTATAGGAAAAGGTAATATTTCTGATGGGCTTGTAAAGCTAAATGTAATGACTGTTCATGAAAAGATCAATAAAAATCTTGTTGCTTGTGTGTGTGAGTCTTCTAGTTTATGGCATGGTAGACTAGGACATGTTAATTATGCATCTCTTCGGAAATTAATTAACATGGAACACATTCCTAAGTTTAGTATTGACATAACTCACAAGTGCAAAACTTGTGTTGAGGGAAAGTCAACTCGAAGTTCGTTTCAAACAATCGAAAGAAATACTCAACATCTAGAGTTGGTTCACACCGACTTGTGTGATTTTCGAACAACGCCTTCAAGAGGGGGTAATAAGTACTTTATTACCTTCGTCGACGATAGCATGAAATATTGCTATATCTATTTACTGAAAAGTAAAGATGAAGTGTTAGACACTTTTATTCGATATAAGAATGAAGTGGAAAATCAACTCAATTGCAAAATCAAAGCATTGAGAAGCGATAGAGGTAGTGAGTATGATGCTTCACTTAATGAGTTTTGTGCACAACACAGAATAGTGCATGAAGTTAACCCCACTATATACACCGCAGTCAAACGGCGTAGCAGAGCGGAAAAATCGCACTCTGAAAGACATGATGAATGTGATGCTACTTAGTTCTGGATTACCCCAGAACATGTGGGGGGAGGCTGATTTATGAAATAATTATTTACTAAATAAAATAGCTCGTAAGAAACTTGACAAAACTCCATATGAACTTTGGCATAACAAGAAAACCTTCCTATAAGTATCTCAAAGTGTGGGGGTGTCTCGCGAAAATACTTGCACCACCACCGAAGAAGATGAAGATCGATCCAAAAACAGTTGATGGAATCTTCATTGGGTACAATAGTACGTCATGCCGGTTCTTGGTGTACAAATCAGATAATCCTGAAATTCACAAGAACACAATCATAGAGTCACGGAATGCAATGTTTTTCGAGCATATTTTTTTGTGCAAGTCTAGTGGCAAAGCTAGTTTGTCCAAACGTTCTCATGCTGAGATGATGGGTAACGAAAATCTAATGCAGTTGAATTCCGGTGACGATGATGAAGTCAAACATGAAACTGAATTGAGACGAAGTAAAAGAATGCGAACTGAAAAGACGTTCGGTTCTGACTTCATAACATATCTGATAGAATTTGACAAAAGAACTTTGTCATTTTTAATGGAAAATGAACCCGATATTCTAACCTGTTTGGTAGAAAAAGAACCACGAACCTATCACGAGGCCGTAACCTCAACTAAGGGACCTTAGTGGCGAGAAGACATAAAAAGTGAAGTTGATTCTATTCTTTAGAATCACACGTGGGAATTGGTTGATCTCCCTACAGGGTGTAAGCCATTAGGTTCTAAATGGGTCTTTCAGAGGAAAATGAAGCCTGACGGCTCCATTGACAAGTACAAAGCTAGACTTGTGATCAAAGGGTATAGCCAACGCAAGGGCTATGACTACTTTGATACTTATGCGCCCGTGACTAGGATAGATTTTATCAGAATGATCATCGCATTTACATCCTTACGAAACCTGAATGTTTACCAAATGGATGTAAAGACTTCTTTTCTAAATGGCGAAATAGATGAAGAAATCTATATGGAACAACCCAAGGGGTTTAAGGTTCCAGGCCAAGAAAAGATGCAAACTTGTGAAATCATTGTATGGTCTTAAACAAGCGCCAAAACAATGGCATGATAAGTTTGACGGGGTAATGATGAACAACGGTTTTAAGATAAATGAGTCGCATAAGTGCGTATACATTAAGGACACATCTGAAGGGTTTGTCATTTTATGTCTGTATGTAGACGACATACTCATTGTTGGAAGCAACGACAGGATGGTTAAGTCCACCAAGGACATGTTGAACGCATGATTCGATATGAAAGATTTGGGTCTGGCTGATGTGAATCTTGGAATCAAAATATTAAGAAGACCAGATGGTCTGGGCTTGAGCCAATCCCACTACATTGACAAAATCCTTGAAAAATTCAACAAGGATGATACAAAGATAGCTAAGATGCCAATAGATGTAAATGTTCACCTTGGTAAACACCGAGGGAGTAGCGATTCTCAGACAGAATATGCTAGAGTTATCGGAAGTATGATGTATCTGATGACCTGCACATGGCCAGATTTAGCTTGAGCCATTAGCAAACTAAGTAGGTATACCAGTAATTCGAGTACTTAGCTCTGGAAGACCATAGTCCGAGTGATGAGATACCTTCGGTATACTCGGGATTATAGCCTATGCTATGGAAGGTATCCACCCGTGCTGGAAGGGTACACTGATGACAATTCGATTGCGGATAATAAGGATTTAAAATCCAGAAGCGGATTTATCTTTATGTTAGCCGGTGCAGCTGTATCTTGGAAATCCTCAAAACAAACGTTAATTGCCAGATCCACCATGGAGTTTGAGTTTATAGCACTAGGTAAATGCGCAGATCATGGCGTGTGGCTTCGGAATTTACTTGAGGATATTCCAAACTGGAAAAACCAGTTCCTCCCATTTGCGTCTATTGTGACAGTCAATCAGCAATAGGACGAGCTCGGAACAAATTGTATAATGGTAAGTCTAGGCACATTCGCCGTAGACACAAAACCATTAGGCAACTTCTCAATACGGGTATTATCTCAATTGACTATGTCAAGTTGAAGGATAATTAAGCGGATCCATTAACCAAAGGGTTAACAAATGAGCAACATGAGAAGTTAGGAGTAGGAATGGGTCTGAAAGCCCTACCCTGTGCTGGGAACGTTCCATGAAGGAAAACCCAACCTGGGTGGTACCTGGGTTCAATGGGACATCCTACTTGTACGACGATGCATGGTCACGGTGAGGGCGAGCCAGATCACCAACTCAACATCCCTCTATTCCTACCGAGATACAGTGACACTCAAAAATGATGAGGTTAGCATGATGCTTTAATGATTCTTGAACTATGGATACCGGGTCCAAGTGGAGTAATCGGGATACTCTTAGAAGAATCACCTATGTAAGAGTGAAGTGCAGTCGCTTCAACAGAAGGATTTTCGGGCTGATCCTGTCTGACACTCTCGCAGAACCAGATGCGTGTTCCACGACCATAATGGGCACACCCATGAGAACGAAATGATGGTTGGTTGAAATTTGTGTATTGTATATCGTCGTTTACATAAACGACAGTACAGTTCCAAGACATCATGTTCTACTGAACAACCAGTAGAGAAGGTATACTTTACAAGGAGTAGGTTCAAAGGCATAAAACCTACCTACTCTTACAGGTTTCAACTTCAGAGTTATTGCCAGTAACATGAATTAATTTTCATTCATGTGGGGGATTGTCGGAAATTTTTAGATAAATTGGACATTTTCGTATTCTCATATTTAAGCTTAGGCAATTAATTGAGCTTATGAAAGGAACAAGAAAAGGACTCCTCGCGCGTCGCTGCCCTTCGTCTGGCTCGGCACGTCGTGACACACGCGCGTTGCGGCGGGGCAGGGCGAGGCGCGGCGCGCGCTGCGCCTGTGCCCGCGTCAGTGGCGTGGCGGGGCTAGCTTTTTACGAGATCAAATCAAACACGCGTGTACACTTCGTTAATAACAAAGTGACGAGAGTTAAAGCATGCATGCACATAGAGGCGAAGGGTTGGCCTGTGACGCCTTAGTAACTCCGTCCAGTCAAATTGAAGAGCCAATTCCTCTCCTATAAAAGGTGGGCTCGGCTGCAAGGATGAATCACTCAAAAAAAACCGTGTCTGAAATATGAATAGGTTTTCGACTATCTCCCCGTTCCACGGTTGTACACTTCTTGTCATTCTCGTTCGTCGGTGCACGGTTCTACCGCCCCTAGGCCTTGCACGTAGCAGTTTTATCCAGGGAGGAGATTGCCCATGTTTGCCCGTGCGAGAGGCGGGCAATACTACCTTAAGGAAAGCTCCAGCGACTCCGCTTTCCTAACCTTTAGTTCGAGAAACTTCTCCGGCGACATCCTATCCCTCCATCCGACGTCTCTCCTTGCCAATCAAAGCACCTGTCTGTTCGTGTTCGAGCTTCCGAAGACTCCAAAATTTTTCTTTTTTATTTTCGTTGTAAAATCTGAATGTTTTATAAGTTTGGATTATTTTATTTTATTCTTATTTTATTCCCGCTATAATATTTAACAAAATATCCTGCATCAGTGTATCCAATAAGAGTGGCCTTGGCACCTTTGCTGTAGAACAAACCATGGTCGATGGTACCATTGAGATATTGTAAATTGTGTTTAATGCCATTTCAATGCCTCCTAGTCGGGGTTGAGCTGTGTCTGGCTAACAAGTTTACTCAGAATGCAATATCTGGTCAAGTGTTGTTTGATAGATACATCAAAGCTCCAATAGCACTCAGGTATGGTGTTTTTGGACCAAGTATTTCTTCATCATCTTCACGAGGTCAGAATGGATAATCATGTACATTGAGAGAGCGGTCAACCATCGGGGATGTGAGAGGATGTGCTTTATCCACATAAAATCGCTTCAGAACCATGTTCGTGTAATTTGAGTGGTGGATGAATATTCCGTCTTTCAAATGGTCAATTTGAAGACCAAGACAAAATTTTGTTCTCCCAAGATCTTTCATCTCAAATTCTTTAATGAGATATTTTGCAGTGTTTTCTATTTCATCAGAAGTTCCAATAATGTTTAAATCATCAACATATACTGCAATTATGGAAAAGCCTGATTTAGATTTACCGATGAAAACACATGGACGAATTGGATCATTTTTGTATCCTTCTTAGAGCAGATATTCACCGAGATGATTATACCATATTCTACCAGATTATTTTAGTCCATAAAGTGACTTTTCCAATTTTATGGAAAACATATCTCGAGGTTTTGAACTATAAACCTCAGGCCATTTTAGGCCTCTGGGAACTTTCATATATATGTCAGTATCGAGAGATCCATTTAAATATTTTGTCACTACATCCATTAAATGCATTTGAAGTTTTTCAAAGACAGACATGCCT